ATCACCTGGGTGTGGTGGTGCTCAACTGTGATTCCAGCACTCAAGAGGCTGAGGCAGGATGATCACTTTGAGTTCGAGGCCAGTCTGAGCTACATAGTTCAAGACCAGCCTGTACTAGATAGCTATTCCCTCACTCAAAAAACTTAAAAAAAGAAGTATCCATCAAAGAGAAGAGGCAGCTCATAGCCCCTCCAGGAAACAGGTGGGATTCATCTACAAAACAGTCCTCCCTCCACGCCACCCACCATGCCCATACAGCGGAGTCTGGCAGGTGACTCCAGAGGGATTGACCTGGAGGACCAAGAATTGCGTCTGCTCGAAGTCCCATTCCAAGCCACCCCCTCCCCTCTGGGTGGCCACATACCATGCTAAGGGCGATGAAGGAGAAGATGGCCATGACCGTGAACATGATGGTGGGGATAAGCATGACCACAGCTGAGCCAACGTTTGTCCCGAAGAAGGAGATAGTGGCAATCCAGCCGCTGTGGGGAAAGGCCAGCATGGGCCATGTGGGCATGGGGGACCCAGGAGCCCCCACTGCAGCCAAGACCACCCTGCTGCTCCCAGGCTCCCAGGAGGAGTCGTGTTGCTTACACCCAAGGCTGGCCAGTGACTCAGGAAGACCGCCCCCTGGACTTTCCTGGAGTTCATGATGCCCCCAACCACCCTGGAGCCACTGCTCAGCTCCTGTTCCCCTTGGATACTACCCCCGATCCTCTCACTGGCCCAGGAACTGGCCACTTTTGACCCCCAGGCCAGGCAGCTCAGCACCTTACACTCCCACACTGCTACCCCTACCTGATCCCACTTCTTACCAGACGCCCCAGCCTGGGATGCCCACAGCCTGGATAATGCTGATGACCAGCTGCGCCATGAAGGTGAAGAAGAACGCCATGAAGCTGAAGGAGCTGTCAGTTCTGTGCAGAGAAGATGGCTTCTGGCACCCAGAAGAGGGCCAGGGCTTCCCCACCTTCAAGCACTCCAAGCCCTCCCAAGGGTGAATACAGAGGGGACAGAGGACATGCAGAGACCTTAATTAAGAGGCCAGAGTGGAACTCCCTCATCCATAGACCTTTGGAGGCGTCTGTGTGCTGGGCTGTGTGAGTGACACTGCACAGGGTGGGACCTCTTTGGGCATGGGGCACCCACAGGCCCTGTGAGCACAGGAACAGACGGCCCCACCATGCCAGAAACAAACAGCTCCGTTATCAAGGGTATGGACAGCCCAGTAGCACCACACCAGCTACCTCCATAGGGATATGGATAGATGGTCCGATAGGCTCAGAGAGAGCGAATCCTTTGGCACTAGAATGGACACCTTATTGGCACTAAGATAGTAGTTGATTGGCACATACACAGATAGTCCTGCTGGCAAAGAGATTTAAGGCCCCATTAGCATGGAGATAGACATTGTGCTGGCATCAAGACAGACAGCCTTGTTGATATAGTCAGTCCCACTGGCACAGGCCCTGAAAACCCCCTTTGGCACTGGATGGGCACTCATGGCACCAGGACAGCTACCCCAGTGACACACGTATGGTGCTCCCTTTGGCACAGAATCAGATAACATCATTAGCACATGAATGGCGCCAGTGGTTCCTGGATGGCTTGCTTCTTCCCTGGGCACCTAAGCTGATGATCTTGTTGTACTGACCAGCTGGTATAAGGATAGGAAGCTCCATAGCAGAAGAACCCACAGGACAAGTGAATATATGGCTTCCCAAGGAAAGCTGGGCAGAGGAAAAAAATGGCCTGGTCTCCAAGTGGACCCCACCACAGGGAAAGGAAGATGGGAGAAAACTATGAGGAAGGTCCCAGCTCCCAGCCCTCTCATTGAGTCAGGAGCTCCCAGGAAGCCCACACCCCAGGGGGCAGTGGGAGTCAAGGTATATGAGAGAAAGTAAGGCTGAAGGAGGGCAAAAACAAAGAGAGAGAGCATGCGCATGAAAGAGAGAGAGAGAGAGAGAGAGGGAGAGAGAGAGGGAGACAGAGACAAAGAGAGAAAGGAAAGGAGCTGGGGATGGTGCACATGCCTGTAATCCCTGGTTCTCTGAGAGACTGAGACAAGACGATCACAAGTTCACAAGTTCAAGCCCAGCCTAGGCAATTTAGCAACTTAACAAGACCCTGTCTCAAAATGAAAAGGAAAAAGAAAAATGAATGGCTGGGATGTAGCTCAGTGCAAAGGCTCTAGGTTCAGTCTGTAATTCTTTAAAAAAAAAGAGGAAAGGCAGAGAAAAAGAGCTGTAGAGAAAAGACAGGGGAGGTGGATACAAAGAGACAGTGTTAGGAGCTGAGGTCAGCGCCAATCACTTACTTGAAGGCCTTGTAAATGGGCCGAAACCAGCAGACGTAGGAGCAGGGCGTGAAGAGGATGAGCCAGAGAAAGGCCAGGCCAAAGTTGGTGGCTCCCCCGCCTCCGATCAGCCACGCGAGACAGCCCACCAGGTTCACGGCCAGCGTGACGCTGTTCACTGCAGACCCATGAACACACACAGAGAGAGAAACACACCAGACACACACACACACACACACACACACACAGCCATAATTTAAACACAAGACCCACAGTCAAACACAAGCCAACAGCAGACAGGTAGAGATGCACACACACACACATTACACACACATACGAACCACATTTATAGATTCACACCCACACAGAAAACCCACATATCATATCAATAAATATATAGACAGACACACAAGACACACACACACACACACACACACACACACGCACACGCACAGAGTACAGATGTAAGAAAGCAAGCTGGGAGCCCAGACCAAAGCCCTCCCCACACCCACTCCCAGAGACCTGAGAAACATGGAGAATAAAGAATCTCAGAGCTGGAGCCCAGAGCAGGGCCCAGCAGGCCCCTTTGGAGGCCTGGCCTCAGAGTGGGAGAAATACTCCTCCACTGGTGGAAAGGCCTGGGGGCTGGGGTGCAGCTCAGGACATTGCACAAGTTTAGCAGACACCAGGCTCTGGGTTCTGATTGTGTGGACAGAGAGGCTTCGGTCCACAGCCCACAGCAACCACCAGGAAACGCATTTTATACCTCCTCTTGCAAGGCTAGGCAGGGAAAGGGAGAAGGCAAAAGGCCTTGTGGAAACGTCTCTTCACCTGCCACACCGCCTGCTCTGCATTTCCATGGGGTAGCAGTAGTGGGTGGAACCTCAGTCTTCATCATTCTTTAGATGACAATCACACCTCCTCCTCAAAGCCCCTTTACTCATCCTCTGTCCCCAAGCTCCTGTAGACCTGGGCTGCACACATGGTCACCTGAATACAAAGCCCAGTCCACCAACCAGACCAGAGGCTCCCTAAGGATGAGGCCCAGGCTCCCAAGGGAACACAGTGTCACTGAGTCCCAGCCAGCAAGGGGCCCCAGGAACACCTCATGTCCCACGCTGGCACTGACATCAGGGTGCCCCCATGCTTAACCCTGGGCTGAGCGTCCAAAGCCCTGCTTTGCACACAACAGCAGGCTCCAGACAGGTGGCATCTGCCCCAACAGAGACCTTCAGCAACTCAGGGCCGACACATGTTCCCTCAGGCTGGAGCCCCAGCAGGTGCCAGTAAGGACTTAGGAGATATTTATAGGCCTTAAATCCAGCTCTGGCGAGATCTCCTCAAAGCTGAGGTCCTGGGAGCCTGGGGTCAGGGAGAAAGTAGGCTTGACTACTTCTCTCTCTCTTTTTTTGGTACCGGGGATTGAACTTGGGAACTTGCGCTTGCGAGGCAGATGCCAGAACCACTGAGCTAGATCCCTGGCCCAAGAAGGCTTGACTACTGCATGACCACTGGCGGGTGGGGCCATCTCAGGGCCCTCAGGACATGCGTTAATGCTTCTTCCTGTGTGGTAAGCTTTGTTTCCTGCATTCTTATCACTGCTCCAAAATCTCCTAGAGCCTTGGTTTTATCACTGATTTATTGGCTCTTTCCATAGAAAAGACACCAAGTAACCCATAGTCACATGGGTAACCTCTCTTGCCAGCTCTCCTCTCCAGCTCAGTGTCCCAGTGTCCCCAGTGCAGTTACTCTACTTCCTCTCTTGAATGGACTCCATGGACTCGGCTGCTCTTTCTCTAGCCATCTGCTGCTTCTATCTCCACTCCGGCTCCTGTCCAGTTTGGCATCCATGGTTCATTACCTCACTGCCTCACTCCCTCCCCTGCTATTTCTTCTGGCCATGCCTACCTCTGTCTGACCTGAGCTCAATGTCCCCAGGAAGAAAGGATACACAGGGAAGCCCGACAGGACTATAAATTCACCAAAGTCAGCTTCAAGCAGCCCCTGTGTGTGACCAGAAACTGTAGGGGCCAGGTTTCCTTGGAGAATATCTTGCTTCTGCTAAATGCATGCTCTGTGTCTCCTCCCCAAGACTCCTCTCCCCTTCATACATCACAGTGCCAGGGAAAAGAATGGAAGCCTTTAGCTTAACCTCCATGTCTTCTTCCCAGCATTCACAGATGCCCCACACCTGCCCCAGCCCCTGTCTCTCGAGTCACATGCCAGGACATCCCTTCCCCACTCAAAGGCTGGGAGTTTGTGTGCTGGTCCTCTGCCCTTTCTACCATGCCGCGAAGGGCCTGCTGTGAAGATAGTCTTTGTCACCACTTCCGGATACAATCTCAGGCCCAGGGTGGCAGCTACATGCATGTCTGACTCAATGCCACAAAACAGGAACAGAGCTGAACTGCAGTAGCACAGCAGGTGTCTGGGGCTGGCACCCTGCATAGCCAGCCTGCCTGTCTTCCCTCACCTGCCTAAGCGGCAACTTCTGAGCAGCTGGACACAGCCAAGTCCCATTGTCCATGCTGATACCTTTCCTACCAACCTGCCACTGACCATCAGAAATGGGGCCCTCAGTCTCTCCCTAGCACCCTAGACTTCAAGAAATAGTCCAGGCTTCAAGAAATACAGACCACCAGAGGCCCTGGGAGTGACATCAGTCACCAAGCCAACACTCCCTGGCCACAACAGGAACTTGTTGCTTGTTTTGTTTTGAGACAGGGTCTCACTATGTAGCACAGGCTGGCCTCGAACTTGTGGTGACCCTCCTGCCTCTGCCTCCGGAGTGCTAGGATTACTGGCATGCACCACCATGCCTGGCTGGAAGCTGCTGCTTGGGAAGTGGTGTGGTCAGACACACTGGCTCTCTTGCCTCCCAACTCCCAGCTGAATGTTCTTTTCTTTAAACAACCTTCCAGGAAAAGCCAGAAAAAAGAGGCTTTGAGAGAAGGACTCTCCTCCAAGTCCAGAATCCTGAGGTCCTGGCAGTCATCAGAGGCTCCTTGGAAAATCACTCCAGCAGAAGGGGAAGGGAGCATAAAGAGAGGAGTTATACTTCAAAAAAAGCCCCCAATCCAGAGGTTCTGTGAATGAGATATGGAGGAGGAAACTGAGGCCCAGCTTGGGAGCTGGCCCCTGAAAGGAGCCTGCTGGGAACCAAGTGGGGAAAGAATTCCCCATCCATGGAGACATCACACATGAGGCTAAAGGATGGCCAACCTGCGCCCCTGCCCAGTGCCCAGCACCCCGTCCTCTTCCTCCTCCTCCCCGGCCCGGCCAGCCACACACTCACACATCCAGAGGTAGTAGAGGCGCTTGGTCATACTGAGATGCTGTGGTGGGATGTCGGCCTCAAAGTCTTGGTAGAAACACGGCTTCAGTGGGATGAACTTGGGCAGCGGTGGGAAGTTGTTCACCTTCTCTGTAGGCCAGGAACATTCGAGAGGTCACCAAGAGGCTCCACCCACACTGTCCTGAGCCCCCCTCCCACACTGGGCCACCCCTGTGTCACCCTGCTGTCCCTACGTTCCTGTGTCTGCCAAGATGACCTTAAGTAACCAAGTCTCTGAGCAGACATAAGGCTGATGGACACACTGGGATGAGGCACCCTCCCTAAGGGGGCAGTTCCAGGAAGAGGAAGTAGGTTGAGCGAGCCTGAAGATGGGGATCCAGCCTAGACCCGACACTCATTCATTCATTCAAGCCACTGCCCCCTCCAGTACTCAGTTTACCCAGTGGGGTGGGATCTAGACAGAGAGTCCCCAAAATTCCTTCCATCCCTAGGGTCTGCGTCTCCAAGCCTTAGAAACCAGGCAACTTGGGACCCACAGGGAACAGATCCTAGAGAGGGGACATAGGGGACAGGGGCTGGGCCACCCGTACTGCTACTCAGTCACCTGGACAGGAAGACAAGGACATCAGGATGCTCAATCCTGGTCCCCTGTATCAGAGACCTGACAGATGAGACAGGGCCATGCTGAGGCTTGGGGGGGAGGGAGCAGCCCATAGCTGAGGACAAGAGGACAAAAAGAGTCACCTCCAGAGACCAGAGAAGGTAGGGACAAGGAAGAGGGCCACCCCCCACCCCCCAGCTCATGTTTCTGTCTTGCCTGTGTGGCCCGCCCTTCCTTACCTGCCATGGTGGCACAGCTGGCCAGCGGCCTGCCCACGCCTCTGTCCTGAACTGCAAGAAGGAAAAAGCAGAGAGGGTCAGGATCAGGGACCCCTCCAAGCTGGTCCCTCTCTGAGCCCCAGTGGGGCTGCAAGCTTCTGGGACAGGACCTGGGACAGCACCTAGCTCCCTAGCACTGGAGAGCCCAGCGATGCAGCTCCTGCCCACAGGCCACCTCCGTACCTGCCACCTACTTCCGGGGACTCCTACCCTTTGCCTTAAGGCACAGAGTCCATGCTCAGAAACCAGCCAGGGTAGGAGGGGAATTTGAGACAGAGGGGACCCATGCAGGGAAAGCCAAGGGACAGCAAGGGCCCAGAGACTCCTAAGGAGGAGGTCCTCCCCTTCCCCTGCATGAGCTCCCTCATCAGACTTCTTATCTGCCAGGCAAGGGGAACGGGCAGAGCAGGCAGTGTGGACCCTGCCCTGAGCAGGAAGCAATGGACCACCTCCAGTGATTCATAACACGCTATCTATCATATTAAAAAAAAAAGTAGAAAGCTGTGCCCAGGGCAGGGCCTGACTGGAGGCAGGGCCTGGGATTGAGAAACATCTGCATTGTCCCACAGCACAGCATCTATGTATGGTTTTTGTGCCTGGCAGTGTTTCTCTCGGCCAGATCTGGTGACCAGAACGTGAGGTGTCTTCTCCCTGGGTCTCCCAGGCTGGTACGGTGGCTGTCACAACCTGGGCTGTGGCCTGGTGCAGTGGCCATGGCCATCACCCCCATCATCAGCTCGGTCCAGAAGCTGGTTCTGTAGGAGACCAGAACCAGATACTTTCTAGTTGAGAGCAATCATGCAGAAACGAAGTATCGCGTCTTGAAAATCAATAGAACAGAACCAAAAGATTTGGTCATAATTGATGATAGGCATATACATACTCAACAAGAAGTACCAAAACTTGTTGGCTGCTTGGATCTTGGAAATAGAACAAAGATGGGACAGAAAGGATCCTCTAGTTATTTCAAGCCATCTCAGCATTTGGCATTATAGGCTTTGTCAGGTTTTTAGAAGGCTATTATATTGTGCTAATAACTAAAAGGAGGAAGATGGCAGATATTGGAGGCCATGCAATACATAAAATAGAAGATACAAATATGATCTATATACCCAATGATTCTGTAAGGATTACTTATTCTGATGAAGCTAGATATCTGAGAATCTTTCAAAATGTAGACCTCTCTAGCAATTTTTACTTTGGTTACAGTTATGATTTCTCCCACTCGCTTCAATATAATCTTACTGTCTTGCGAATGCCCCTGGAGATGTTAAAATCAGAAACAACCCAGGCTTGTCAGGAGAGTTTTGACATCTCTGAAGATGAAGGATTAATTACAAGGTGGAAGTGGTGTTTTGGGGATCTGTAGTGAACCTTATATGAAGTACGTGTGGAATGGTTAACTTCTGGATATAATTAAAAAATACTGTGCGTTGGGACTGGTTGTTATATATTATTCATGGGTTCTGTGGACAGTCGAAGCTATTGATCTATGGGTGACCAGTGTATGGCACTCTGATAGCTAGAAGATCCAGCAAGTTTGCTGGAACCTGTTTTCTCAAGAGAGGTGTGAACTGTGAGGGTGATCTTGCCAATGAAGTAGAGACTGAACAGATACTCTAAGATGTCTGTGATGTCATTTACTGCAAGAAGTTATTCTTCTTATGTGCAAGTTAGAGGCTCAGTTCCCCTGTACACATCTCCACCATGATGCCCAAATCCCCTATTACATTGGACCAAGCAGATCCATTTGCACATGTGGCTGCTCTGCACTTTGACCAGATGCTTCAGAGGTTTGGCTCCCCCATTATCATCTTGAATTTGGTGAAAGAGAGGCAGAAAATAAACCATTAAAGAATTCTGAGTGAAGAACTAGTTGCTGCTGTGACCTACCTTAATCAGTTTTTGCCTCCTGAGCATACAATTGTCTACATTCCTTGGGATATGAGCAAATAAAACAAAAGCACGTTGTGCAATGTGCTTGATTGACTGAATATGATTGCGGAAAGTGTGGTGAAGAAAACAGGTTTCTTTGTAAACTGCCCCGATTCTAACTGTAGCATTTTAAGGCCAGATGAAAAGTGGAATGAACTAGGAGGATGTGTGATACTCACTGGTCGCCTGCAGACTGACATCCTTCGAATCAACTGTGTGGACTGTTTAGATCGCACGAACACAGTGCAGTTTATGGTGGGAGAATGTCCTCTGGCTTATCAGCTGTATTCCTTGGGACTGATGGACAAACCTAATCTACAGTTTGATACAGATGCTGTTAGGTTGATTGAGGAGTTCTATGAAGATCATAGTGATACCCTGTCCCTTCAGTACGGTGGTTCTCAACTTGTTCATCGGGTGAAAACTTACAGAAAGATAGCACCATGGACCTAGCACTCAAAAGACATCAGGCAAACTCTGTCCAGACACTACAGCAATGTCTTCTCAGATGCAGATAGACAAGATTCTATTAATCTTTTCCTGGGCGGTTTCCATCCCACTGAAGGGAAACCTCATCTCTGGGAACCCCAGACAGATTTTTATCTACATCACAAAAATATCATGAAACTTTTACCAACAAGAAGAAGCTACACTTACTGGTGGACACGAGAGGTAATAAAGCATTTACCACTGCCTTATGATGAAGTTACCTGTGCTTCGAACTTAAAGAAGTTGATAGTGAAGAAATTTCACAGATATTAAAGAGATTGATACCTACAATAAATTCCTTCAGCCGTATGAGTTGAGCAGTTTCGATGGTACCTTTTGCTTGGCTATGACAAGTTCTGCACGTGACTTTAAGCCTAAGACCGTTGGCATCGATCCAAGCCCATTCACTGTGTAGAAACCAGATGAAACTGGAAATCAGTATTGAGAAACAAAAGCAATAGAGAAGAAGCCATATTGCAGCGGAAGATAGCAGCCAGCGTCCCACCACCTTCCAGCGAAGAGGCTGTGTCTATAGCCGCTCCGAGGATGACTCTGGGACTGCCCATGAAGAGGAGGGCTCTGTGTCTCAGCGCTCCACTCCTGTAAATGACCGACATAGGAGACAGTGCCAAAGTGACTGAGAATACGGTCCAGCCCATGAAAGAGGTATATGGTATTAACCTCTCAGATGGCCTCTCAGATTTCTGTTCATTCAAGATTTGTACAGCTGGGGCAGAGTCAACATAAACAAGACAAGAACAGCCAGGAACTCTGTTCCAGGTGCTCTGATGGAGTTAAAAAAAAACCTAACACCTATTTCAGCTTTTCCACAAGACAACATCTATGAAGTGCAGCCCCCCAGAGTAGACAGAAAACCTAGAGAGATCTTCCAGGCCCACATCCCGGCCAGTCAAGGGATCATGCAGCTCCTAGGAAAGGAGGACACTTCCATGTACCAAGAGTACTTCAGAAATCGTTACCTGAAGGGCTGGGGATTTAGCTCAGTGGTTGTGCTACCTGCCTTGAAAGTGCAAAGACCCAAGTTCGATCCCCTGTACCAAAAAAAAAAAAAGAAATCACTAACTATAAAGACAGTGCAGGGCCATCAGGGCCCTGAGAGGGACCAAGGAAGTCACATTGGCTTAAATTATAATCTGCTCTGCCTTATCTGAAAGAAGTAATTTTCCAAAGTCCTTTGCATCTGAAGCTTTTTCCTCTTTTTGTACTACATAAATTACAAAATATAATAAAGAAATAACTGGGTGGGGCCGGGGATTTAGCACAGTGGCTCCAGTGCCTGCCTCACAAGGGCAAGGTCCTGAGTTTGATCCCCAATACCAGAAAAAAAACCCAAAAAACCCAAAAGACTTAAACGTTCTATGTATTGATATAGACAGAAAAAAGAAATTTTTTTTTAAAGATATAGACAGAAGCAAAGCAAAGGTGCCAATGTTAACAACTGGTAAATCTGAGTGAAGGTATACAGGTGTCCCTTGTTCTAGTCTTTCAACTTTACCCACTGCATTTGTGTGTGTGGGTGTGTGTGTGTACCCAACAAACTTTTCTGAGATCAATGTCTTGCTATGGTGTCCAGGCTGGCCTTGAACTCCTAGGTTCAAGTGATCCTTCTGCCTCAGCCTCCCAAGTACCTGGTGGAATACAGGGCACACAGCCAGGGTACTGAAGACAGCAACAAGGTGAGGATGTGAAGAGTCCAGAGAGAAGCTGCGCTGCGTGTACAGCAGACAGAGGTCCCTGGACTAGATGCTGGGGGCAGAATCAAGCTTGATCCTCAGTCACATGCATCGCTGAGCATTCTGTCCTTCCTTTGAAAAGTACAGCCTCAGCTGGGCATGGTGGTGCATGCCCATAATCCCTGCATCCTGAGAGGCTGCGGCAGGAGAATGGCAAGTTTGAACCCAGTCAACAACAAAAGTATAGACTCCAAGAAGTTTTTTGTGTTATTTGTTTGGTGGTACTGGGGACTGAATCCAATCACTAAGTTATCCAGGCTGGGCTTGCACTTGCGATCCTCCGGCCCCAGCCTCCCAGAGTGCTGGGATTACACATGTGCACCACCAAGCCTAGCTAAGTGTCAGAGTTTTAAAAAATAAAATTAAAATGTTGTTTTTCAGTTATCTATAAAAATATCTGTAAGTTAAGAAAAAATCAAAGTGCATAAAGTAGGAAAGTAACTAAGATGATACTGTAAAAGAATAAACCGAGCCGAGGATGTAGCTCAGTGGTGCTGGTGCCTGTCTGGCAAGTGCAAGCCCCATTAAGACATTAAGCCTATCCCTGGCCCCATTAAGACATTGTTGAGAAGGGGTGGGGATTTAGCTCAGTGGTTTCGCCGCCTGCTGCGAAAGCACAAGGACCCGAGTTCGATCCCTGGTACCAAAAAAACCCCAAAACAAACATGAGATTGTTGAGAAGACATTGTTGACATTGTTGGAAGAAAACTGAAGTATAGGGCCTGGGATTTAGCTCAGTGACACTGCACCTGCCTCAAAAGCACAAGGTCCTTAGTTCCACCCCTGGTACCAAAAAAAAGTCTTAATGAAAATTCTTGATGTTAATGAATACAG